AATGTCGCCAGGATGGCTGGGGAATTCTGGGATTTATTGAAATCCCCAAGTCTTAATATCGCCATGTTGGCTGGGGAATTCTGGGAGTTGAAGTCCCCAAGTCTTAATGTCGCCATGTTGGCTGGGGAATTCTGGGAGTTATTGAAGTCCCCAAGTCTTAATGTCGCCAGGCTGGCTGGGGAATTCTGGGATTTATTGAAGTCCCCAAGTCTTAATGTTGCCAAGTGTGGAGAGCCCTGCTATGGTGGCAACTCGCCAGTGGAGAGAAACCAGCTGTTGAAATTGCCCGCAGGTGAGGCTTCCTTCCTCCAGTGACGGCCAGCCAGCCACAGGGGCCCACAGGGTAACCCACCCCTCACCTGCCAAGGTCTTACCTGGCAATGGAGGGGGGTGCCCCCGGATGCTGTTTTCGGAACCAGGTATGATGGGAGCGCTGGCTCTCCTTCTGGCTGATGCGCCCCTCCCCGTGCTGGTCTAGGGTCAGGAAGGCCTCCCGTGCCTGCTCCCTCTCTTTGCCCGTCAGCAGGCCCAGCAGCCCCTCCTGGGGAGGGAAGCAAAGCAGGAGAGGCTGCATGGAGGGTGCGGGACCCCCACCCAAATCTTCTGGCCTTTGCAGGGATAATGGGCCCTTGCTCACTTCTAGGAGAGGATGTGGGGAGAAGATGACCGCCTCCCCCACTCCCAGGATTGGGACAAGCCTCTTTGCCTGGTAGCTGAGCTGCTCTGACATGGGGGGGGTTTCTTTCCCACCCTGCAGCCCCCCCAGGAGAGCCCCCCACCTGTGTGCGCGATCTCTGCAGCAGCAGCAGGGACTCATGGGAGAGGAAGTCCTCCCAGGCGATGTGGCCCTTCTGCCCGGGGTCCAGGGCCGCAAACTGCAGGCTGTGACGTTCCTTTTCATCCTCACTGCTGGGCTGCCCTGCCAGGCCCTTGTAGCGCAAGAAGTCCTCCAGGGTCAGGGTGTTCTCTGTGGACCCCCCCAATCATGGTCAGAGGAAGTGATCTCCCCCAAGGCAATGAAGCCCCTCCCCGAGTCCTCTGTCCACCAATGAGAGAGAAAGCCCCTCCCAACCTTCCCCCATTTCTTGGCTGAGACGGGGTTGGGGACCGTTCCTCCCCGGCCTCAACCACTTCTTGAAGCAGATGGGGGGGTCTCTGCCCTGTAAAGGGGACCCCTCTGCCAGTGCTCCACCCCTGCCCTAAACGGGTCTGGGGGCCACTCCTGGCAGCCTTACCAGGCGAGATGCTGGTCTGCCGGAAGGCATCAGAGAGGGAGCTCATCTCCTCTTCCGTGAGCAGCGAGTTCAGGTTATCCTGCCCGGAAAAAAGAGAATGGTTGAAGTTACAACGCAGGTGCCCCTTTTTAGGACTGTGTTCCACCATGGGGGGAGAGAAAGGCGGGTGCCTGCTGACCCCTTTGTTGCCCCGTGGCCCTGCATAGCTGGATGGTCTGCCAGTCAGCTTCCCCCCCCTACTGTGGTGCCTTCTGGGTGGGCTACTGTACAGCCTCCCCACCCCACAATCTGCCCCACTCATTTCGCAAGCAAGATTTCACACATTGTTTTGCAGCTGTGCCCCACCGGCCCCCCTTTTTTCCCCTCTGGAAACTGCCCTGCTGTCCTCCAAATCAGGGCTGAGCAACTCCGGCCCTTTTACCACCTGTGGACTTCAACTCCCAGAATTCCAGAGCCGGAAGTCCAGCCTCCTGCTCCAGGACCTCATCCTACGAAGTCTCTCCCCCTCCCCTTAGTTTCTGGAGGATTTTCCCAACCTGCAGCTGCCTTTGTAAACATTTTCTGTCTCCTGAGATGGAGCAGACGATTGCTCAGATGCAGGTGGTCCTCGACTTACAACAGTGACCATTTGAAGTTACGACGACACTGGAAAAAGGGATTTATGACCGTTTTTCACACAGCCATTGCAGCATCCCCCAAGGCCACGTGTTCAAAATTCAGATGCTTGGCGACTGACTCGTATTTATGACAGTTGCCATGTCCCTAGGTCAGGTGATCCCCTTTTGCCGCTTTTTTGACAAGAAAAGTTGAAGGGGAAGCCAGATTCACTTAACAGCTGTTGTTACTAACTTGTGATTCACTTAGCAACGGTGGCAAGAAAGGTCATAAAATGGAGCAAAAGTCAACAACTTAGCAACAGAGACTTTGGGCTCAATTGTGGCTAAGTTGAGGATTACCTATACCAGGGGTAGGCAACCTTGGCTCTTTTATGACTCGTGGACTTCAACTCCCAGAATTCCTGAGCCAGCATGGCTCAGCTTGGAAACCTCTCCCTTTCCCCTCAGCATGGCTGGCTCAGGAATTCTGGGAGTTGAAGTCCACGAGCCATAAAAGGGCTACGTTTGAAGACCCCTGTCCTAGACAGTCACTTCTCTGAAATGATATAGGGCAGGGGTAGGCAACCTTGGCTCTTTTATGACTCGTGGACTTCAACTCCCAGAATTCCTGAGCCAGCATGGCTCAGCTTGGAAACCTCTCCCTTTCCCCTCAGCATGGCTGGCTCAGGAATTCTGGGAGTTGAAGTCCACGAGTCATAAAAGAGCCAAGGTTGCCTACCCCTGACCTATA